AAAAACTCAACCTGTATCGCCTCAAGGCAGGCCAGTGCTCAGGAGTGGATGCAGAGAGAAACAGTACAACACCACTGTGGATGTTTCAAAGATGAAATAGAAAGTCACAGACACGAGAATCCAGACTGTCTTTCCCTGTTTTTGAAATACAGCTCTTCAATCCAGCCAGCATGGGGGTGCCCAGGTCTGTATGCCTTAAGATGTGACTCAATACGTAGCTGGTTATCTGGACCCAACCAGCCCAGGAGGTATTTTGCTGTTGTAATTAGGACACTTGCCAAAGGTGTGGCATCTGCTGGGGAATTTTATTAGCAGAAAGCAAGAGAGAAGCTAAGGACCTTCCTTCCATTGTGCAGCTTTTTCTCTGCTCATTAACAGGTCCATCAGCAGGCAACCAGCTGAACTGAAAGTCGCCAGTGTTCACATTGATCAAATGTGGTACTCATTAGCAGTTCTGATTCAAAAGGAAAAACAGAGAAAATTCTCTAGAGAAGAAGAGTTAAAATCAAATTTTGTTTTTTTTGGTTTTTTCCCCCAGCTGTGTAGCTATCATCCTTGTTCTTAGCTCTCATCATGGAAAATTCTGAGTTCTCTGTGGAAGAGCTCACCCTGGCACCTTGGTGTTCTACCTCACTTTCCTCTCTCCTTGTCCTAGTTAACAATCTATGAAATCTGAGCCACAGAACCACAATGGGCAGCCAGGAGAGGACACACAGGACCTCAACCTTACAATCGGTCCCACAGAAAACATCTTTTGGGAAAAGAGGCTTGCAATCAAAATGAAAATTTGAGTTTTGAATAAATTAAAGCTAAGCGATAAGCCAGGATTTAAACACAGTCCCTTCTACCACCCATCTTTCTTTCCAGTATCAGTGAGCAGAGAACATAACAGTAACCACAAGGACCTTGAAGACTTCATAAAAGAAAACTTAAAAGCAAGGTCATTGAGCACCACAATGTTTGAATACTTTCTAGAACATTCTAGAAACTTCTATCATTGATTTGGCACTAATTAGTACAGTCAGACAACTAATATAATGCAATCATTCAAACAGTTCAGATAACACTGTCAATAGTATATTTGGGATTTGAAAAACCTATTTTCATAAGAAAAATGTGTCATGATTGTTAATTGTGACATGTCAACTTGATTTAAGTAAGAACTGCCTACCAGAATACAAGGTTCTGGGTTTGCCTGTGGATGACAGAAATGTAGGACACAAATTTGTTGCTCTAGTGAACACTAACTAACCTAGATTCCTAGAGTCCTACATTAGATAATGCCTTTAAAGCATGACACCTTTAGATACTGTCTTGCTTCCATTAGGGTAATACTGATTCAACATTATAGTAATACAAAGAATAAAACTCGTAGAGGTAACCATAATCTTGGCAGATCTTTATTTCTAGGTACATTTTTCTTCTTAACTGCCTCCTTCTCATGATATTCAACAGATATGGATTGATCAACAACAAATATTAAGAAAAGGACTTTTTTCTTTATAATAATTGATAACTTAGCCTTCAACTGTGCTTTTCAACATTTAGTAGGTTTTTATCAAAACTTAATTAATCCTTTCTTCATGTGTTTTTCCATATATCTTATCCTCCCTTCTAATATACAGACAAGAGAACCCTCCTTCTTCACCATGACTATAAACTTACTCTTTCTGATTACAAGAAATATCAAAAAGAGGCTACAGAAATTCAAGATGCTTTGATGAAAAAATATTTTCAAGGAGAATCGAAGAGCATCATGAGACTCCTTGAGAAGCTGCATTGCCTACATTTACAACTGCTTTTCTTTATTCTTATAAATTAAAATCCTCTATTCAAATTTTGAAGTTTTACCAAGACTTTGAAATCTGCTAATATTCTTCAGAGAACTAATGTATGAGCTGTCAAGAGTGGCTCTATACCACCTGCCCCATAACATCTTTTAAAATGTACAAAATGACAGGATTAAATGATAGACAAACACAATAAGGCCACCTCGTGCCACATATCACTAAGGTTACCCGAGGTAACCAATGATTTAAGTACACTTTTTTCTAATGCTTGAAACAAAAAACAATCCCCCTAAGAATCAGTCAAAAGATTCCAAAAACTAATAATAAAATTCATTGGCATTGAAATATGAAATGTTTATTCGATATGAAGGCATTACTGGATGGGAAGCTTCCCCACGCAGACTTCTGGGATGCTAACACCACCAAAATGCCATAAAAGTCGTAGAGAAAAAAGAAATCTAAGGGCAAAGAATTAATTGGTTCCATAGGGATACACTAGAAAGGAAGATGATTTCAAAGGGTAAAATGCAAATTCTCAAGCAAGGAAAACCATGAACATGAGTCACTTCTTCAATGTAAACCCAATCTCTTCAAGCAGACATCTGAAATTGACCAGATTTCCCTGGGGAAAGCTCCTGCCATGCGAGTGAGAGGAAGTGTGAGAACTCACCACATGTGGCCAGATGTTGACAGGGAGCCTCTACTCTCCTGCGGCAGACTGGGGAACAATCCTTTCTGTGGGCATCTAGTATGTCTCTAACAATTCTTTTTTCCACCTTTAAAAATCCAAAAATCTCTAAGATTTAGTAATCTGGACATGATCAATTTCTCTCCATTACTGTTTTGTTTCCTGGGTTATTCCTTCTTTTATAATTTATGGCCAGAACACGGGTACATCACTCATGGTAAGTTGAACATCCATAAGGTATGAACAAAAGGATGGCAAGTGTTTAAACCATAAAAAATTACCACAGTAAATGACATTCATTTATACCCCTCACTTCGAACACACTTAGCATTCGTGCCACTTTCTGAACAAGGCCTAAATTCCCCTTTCTTGAATGTCTTTAGTTACACTGTCTTAACTGCCTTGATGTTCTGAATTGATTGACAATGTTCATTTTTTCATAGTCACTTTGACTTTGCAAAAGAGCCAGAAGTCACATAGTGCCAGATCCAGGGAATAAGGCAGATCAGGACACATCGTTTATGAGTCTGTTTTTCCCCTTGGATGGCATCGGCAGTGGCATTCACCACATTTCTGATTACCCTCTTAAAGATCTTCACAAAAGAGGACTTTCAGAACTGTTTAGAAAGTAACAAGAACCATCAGATAAGTGTGTTCAAAGCAAGGGGATGTATTTTGAGAGGGATTCATGGCAACCTGTCTCTTACTTTTATAGGTTTCTTTTTTAATTTAGACATTCAGTGTGTATTTCTATCATACCCCGTGTATCTGCACCTGTCAATACTTATTCTGAGGATGATGCTGGAGACATTCAGGAATGAGTTTCGGTGTGGACAGGTCTACATGGCTGTACCCTCACTGGACCGCAACCCTTCTTGGTGAGAATAAATAGCAAGAGAACAACGGGAGACCTGATGCATGTAGGGAAGAAAGAGCCCTCCAAGATCAGGATTCTGAGTTCCAGAGCAAAGTTAGGTGAGATGAACCCTGGGATGCCTGAGCATTACTGATTCTTGTCCCCAGACCACAGTTTCCTCTACATACAGTGGCAGCTCCAATGACAGCAGGAAAATAAGTCCACGCCCTTCCACTGGCCCCATGTCCCAACTCCACATTCCAGAATCTGCTGGTTCCATCACACTGTTGGTCTCATCTCTAGATTTGAGGCTATTATCTTCAGGGGCTCAATCCCACTCTTTCTCTTCCCAATCCTGCTCAAACATCCTCTAAAGAGTGATGTTCTAAGTCACGTAATGTGGTTCACACCTGTAATTCCAGCACTCCAAGAAGCCAGGGCAAGAGGAACACAAGTTTGAGCCTAGCCAAGGCAACTTCATGACTTAGCAAGATGGTATCTCAAAATAAAACACTTTACAGGGCTGGGGTTGTAGCCCAGTACTGGAGGAAGGAAAAAGCTGATGATCTACTCAATTATCCTAGTCTTAATAATCAAAACAGGTCATTTATCAAATACTTTGTTTCATTATCCTTATGTCTATTGAACACATGTTAATAAAAGGAACAAACATCATAAACTGTTTTTTTCAACCTTTGTTTTTCATTGTCAACTTCTCTAAGAAATCTTTTTAGACATTTTTTCTAACTATACTCCCCATAAAATTTTAGTCCCATCAATGTACAATGAGTCTCATTTATGTTTATCTGTACTTTATGAATTAACAGAGTAAGATTTTTTTGACCAATCAAGAGCCAATTTCTCTCTCTTGGGAAAGATGTAACACCAGTAAAGAATAGATGACCTTGAAGCCAGCAACAACTACAATCATGGTACCCTAAGTGCTTTCCTGCCTCAGTGATATTTAATGGGACATAAATGATCAAGAGGGCCACCTAGCATCAGTCATCTGTACTGAAGAGGTCCAGAGAAGCAAAGTCCCTCCTCTCCGGACATTCTCTGTCCCAGTTCCCTGTTATGGTCTCTACTGCCTCTTCTTTGGTCTTTCTTAAAAAGTTCACAGAATTACCAAGTGTTAGCCTCAAATGAATACCAACCTCACATTTTCTTTTTTTAATCTCAACACTTTTTGATTATAAGCACTTTGATTTCAACCCATTTTCTGTTACCAGTGTTAGAACACCACAGACAAGGTAAGTCACAAGGAACAGAGATTTATTTTGGCTCATGAGTCTCAGGATTCAGAGTCAGAGGGCCATATCTGGTGATGGTTTCCCTCCTGGAAGAGAACCAGGGCAGTGCAGGGCATCACGTGACCAGAGACAGGAGCATGTGTGTGTCTCTTCTGATTTGTGTTCTTCTTTTAGGTCGCAACATTCAATCATGGTCATGGAGATGATACCCTGAGGACTCTTAATCTTAATGACATTGCAAAGTCTCTAACTCTGAACATCACAGTCAGGTTAACTTTCCATGTAATAGGGATTAAATTGCACCACATGAATCTTTCAGGATACCCAAACTATATTTGACCCATGGAATACAATAAACTACAAACACAATTAAACGGATCCCCCATTCCAGAAAGGGACAAATGATCTCTCACCTCTTGTCTTTTGAAGTTCTGGACATATTCTTCAAACTGCTCATCTTTTGTTTCATCAGCTTTCCCCAGCTTCTGGAGGACCTGGTTTGTGAATAAAACATAATGATTTGATTTTAGGATGCTTTCATTAAACTGTGACTAGGTACACAGCAAGGCTGTCATTGTGCTGTAAGGATCTCAGGAGAATTCACCATCAGTGCTGCGGGCTTCTCTGTTCTGGAAGTATCTTGATGGCTTTAGAGTCAAACAGACCTGGATTTTAATTACAGATCCATGATCCACAGGCTGTGTGATCTGAGCAAGGGCTATGAAGCATTGCATTTGTTTATGTATCTGTTTCCTCCAGGAGGCTGGGCATGATTTCAAGACAGAAGCCACACCATATTTCTTCTCTTGTCCAAAGCATCTGGTACAATGCTTGACGCATAATAGGTACTAGATTGTTTGCTAAAGAGTATACCAAACCTTTTTCCCTAAAATACTAACCTACTTCCTGGGAGTAGTACTAAGTTCTCCCACACATCTTCTGATATTCTTTTCAATCCAATGCACTTGAAGTATACACTGAGTATACACAAGACCTCATGCTAACCACTGATTATTCAGAAATACACTGATCCTAAAGTCCCAAGCACTGATCCTAAAGAATTTGTATCTAGTGGAATAGACCAATCAGGTCCTCAGATAACAAACCAAACACAGTGTGTTCCAAGCAATATGAGGAGGTTAGTGTTATGAGGTTAGCGTTAGTGTTAGTGTTAGTGTTATGAGGTTAGTGTTTTCCTAATCACACTCAGAGATTTGACCTGAAGTCCTCAGGGCTGAGGTCTTCAGAAAATGACTTGGGGTGATTTACATTGTGTTGTTAGAAATTCCAAGTGACAGAAATGTGGCAGAGTTCATTCCAGCAAAGGAAGTGGCGGAAACAAAGATCACAGGAAAAATTATCATGCCTCATGGGACTGGACATGAGCGGTTCTGTCAGCCCTAGAACATGGGATGAGGGTCCAGGAGAAAAAGTTCTTAGAGACCTAGTAAAGGGCTAGGGATACAGCTCAGTGGTACAAGCACCTGCCTGGCAAGCACAAAATTTCCCATACTAAAAATAAAAAAGTCATGACTGTTTTTATTATGTGATATTCGATATTTCCATAGCTTAAGATTAAAACATCAAATTATTCAAGAAAGTGAAACTTAATAAATATGGGCTACTAGAGATGCATATAACCTATGACATGAGCAAATAACTTTTTAAAAAAATTTTATCAGCATTTTGAATTCTAATTAAACAAATCACATTCTTCTCTATTGCATCAGGTTATACTAATTCATTTCTCAAAATCAAAACGATAGCCTTCCACAAATTGAAATTTTTTAAAATGGCACTCTAGAAGTGAAATAATTCTACTGGATCATAATGGAATTGAAGATAGAAGTCAGCACAAACTTCCATTAGATGACTGAACAGAATGGTTTGCACTGTCAATGTCTGAGAGTCTGTCCCCTTTTTATGCTTTGATTTTATAACCTGAACAACTATTTTTAAAAGGACAATATGTTACTTAGCAACTAGTAATTTCTTAGTGTTAATATTTTTCTTTGAAATTCTATATTACTTCTACTCTTTTTTATGTTTTGTCTTGTTTTTCTTTCTTCTTTAAATAAAAAAATAAAAAGAAAGAGAAGAAAAATCCATAAAAATCATGCAAACACATAGAGATTAAATAATATGTTGTTGAATAGTAACTGGATCATAGAAGCAATCAGGAAAGAAACTACAAAGTTCTTAAAATCAAAGGACAGTGAAAGTACAACATGTCAAAATCTACAGTACACAATGAAAGCAGATCTAAGAGGGAAGTTTACAGGTGCATATGCACACACAAAAAGAATAGAACAATCCAAATAATTAAACTAAAATGCTCCTAGCAAAACAAGAACAATCCACATCTAAACCTAGTAGAAGAAAGAGATTATAAAGATCAGGGTGGAAATTGAGACCAAGAATAACACAAAGGATCAACAAGTCAAAGGATTAGTCCTTTGAAAAGATGGGAAGGGAGGAAATGGGAGAGAGCACAAGGAAAGGAGGTAAAAAGAATCAAGTTGAGGAGTATGTATGGACAAAGTCCCCACGAAGAATGTACTTAACATATCACAAACATATACTAATCAACAACTAAGAAGAATATGAAGTAAAATTTAAGAAATAAAGTTGACTTTTAAAGCACATGTTGAATGACAAAGTCATCTCAAACTTGGAAAGGGCTATCAGATATCTAGTTATTCATCAGTATAGTGCTTAGTTTACTTTTTGCATTGGCTTCCTCTTGGCTTTTTTAGAACTACATAGACACAAAAGTTGACTTGAAGGTTTTGATTCAACAAAAAAGCAAACAGTTCATGTCTAATGGGAAAAATAACCCCAAATATGAATTTATGATGTTAACTAGTCCTTTCTTGTGAAATTCCTTCATTAGATAAACTATAAATACCTAGCTCTTTAAATACATTTTAAATGATTTCATCATTTGAGTGAATGTCTTGTTCATCAATGAGTTGAATAAAGTCTTTAATATACGTTCAATTTGTAGTTGTATGAAAATAAAAAAAAAACTTTTAAAAAATAAATTTCAAATGCAAGGTATCATATCCTCTTCTTGTTTGATAGAGAAAATGTTTTTAAATCCTTTATTGATACAGGTTACAATTACATTACTAGAGTATTGTTAGCTGGCTAATAAAATCTCAGACTCTTCCTGGGAGCCACCTTTTTAGGCGTCTTGGCCACGATCTTCCTTTCACTTGGGGAAGCATTCTCAACTTTGGGAGCCAGAGGCTTTGCACTCTTTTTATACATTACTATTCTTGTAACAGAAATAGAGCAAAGCAAAATTACACAGGCCAGCCTTGCAAGAGAAGTAAAACTTGGTAACACACAGGGATTCCTGGCCTCCCATCCACCCCCATATTTTCATTCTAAGTATAATCCTTTAAGAAAGGATTATTTAGCTTTATTGTTTCTTTATTTTTCCCTTCTGAAAAATAATTTATCTTAAAACTAGGTCTAACAAATTATCACATACACACACACAATACCAGACACCAAACATCTAAAGGTAACCAAGGACAAGCACCTAGCAACCTAGGGTTTAGCACATGGCCTTTTTCTCCAAGCTCTCAAAGTCCACTAATTCAGACATTTTTAGATACTCTGGATTATATAAGTCATTCAAAAGCAGCAAATCCACATGGAACGAAGCAAATCAAGGCAAAGGAAGGTTACGTGCTCTGTTTGGCAATTAGCTATGGTCTAATCCTTAGTTCTGCACTTTCCCAGTGGTAAATGGTGGATACTTGTATCTCTCAGTGGGGAGGAGAAAAGATATAAATGTTTCTGAGTGTCTACTACAGAAAGTCAGTCACATGTCACAGATGATAACTGGCCTATCGAAAAGCCTTAAGAAATTTATCTTTCTGAGATCTGACGCCTCTGTCACCACCCTGAATAGACTTTACCTTGTCATGAGAGGCAAACGAGATTTACACATCGTGAGTATTATTCCCATTTTCTTAAATCGTGTAGACCATGGTGTCCCCTAGACGGGTACATGTTATATGTTATATAACTATGATAGTTGGGGGAGTCATTCATAGACCCTCAGCCTAAAGCCCTTCATCATAAATTTCAAGCCATGGTTCCTTGTTATTCACAGCCCTAAAACTAGTATGACATAAATAGCAAAAACAACCACAGACATTGCTCCTATGTGTAAAGAGAGATGGATGGCAATTGGATGACATCAGGACCCACACTTTTTCATCTAAAGAAAATAATAAAGTATCCAGAGCTCTCTGAATTGTAGCACACCCACATCATGGTGCCAGCTGCCTTTGGTGATAGCCATGACAGACAGATGGAGAACACACAGCCCAGAGAGATGTGCCCATATAGAACTGTTCGTGTGTCAATGACCACACTAGGAACTTAATGTACTTTATTTCAGCTGCTCTTCATAGCTGCCTGCTAATCCCTAATTTAGAGATGAAGCAGCTGAGACTCAGGAAGGCGTTGCAACCTGCTCAAACTCGTTCCCCTTACTATTAGGAGAAGTAAGGTGCAAACTCACTATTCTCTTTTTTTCTCATAGACACATTTTTAATCTATAACCCTAAGAACTGAAAGATTTTCCTAGCTATGCTATCATCTCATTTCTCCAATGTCACCAAATTCTCTTTTCTAATATGCCTCTCTGGACATGTTATTTCCTTTATTTAAATCCCACTGTGACTGTTAATCCTGCTGTGTTGAGTTGGTAAATAACACTTTTGAATGTTTCTGGGGACTATATCTGGTCTCTGGCCCCGCCCTCTCTCTGGTGAAGGTGGCCTGTTCTGCTCCCCAACCACCATAAACTACCACATCTTTCATCCACAATGTTCTTGCCTTGGACACAGCCTATCAAGGACTAAACTCTCCAAAACCATAAGCCAAAATAATCTTCTCTTCCTTTAAAGTCTAGATGTCAAGCATTATGACGACCCAGTAGCAGAAAAGCTGACTAATATACCTGCTATGGCTTCTTGATGACAATGAATCAAAACCAGGTGTCTCATAGAAGTTACCAAAATTTCAATGTCCTCATGACACTCTACTTACATATCAAAGGAGACAGCATGTAGGAGAAAGAGGTGTGCTTGGAAGGACTGTAAGAAAGTTAGGTCTTTGTCCTTTGAAAATCATTATGGCTATGTGATTGAAAGAACAACTATTATAAAGATAACAAAATATACTGTGATACCTATTACTGTTATCCCGGTAACCTGCTGTGAAGTTCTGTACCAATTTCACTGTACAATCTTACTTGGCTTTATTCTGTCTTGTTCTGTTCTTTACTTTCAAAATAAAAAGAAAAGAAAATCATTATGGGTACAAACACAAATATTTGGCATACATACTGTCACACCCCAATATTGGTCTTTGCAAATTCTAATTTACCTCTGTTCTCAATTCTGTTCAATGACTTCAGAACAGTTGTACATTAAAAGTATCTAAGTTGTCCTTACGCTGAAACCTGTTT